GTCGCATGAAGGGTGCGCTGCATCCTGCTAAGGGTGTTCGGCATCTTGTGCTTACTTCCTTGCGTACGGATGACAGCTGCGTATGAATTAATTTATTTTCTGGTGGTTTCACTTCCAGAGACAGTTGTAAGCACTGTGTAACTGCCTCGAGGGTGCTGACCATTTTAACACAACGTGGTGCGATCATCCCCCTTGCACGGAGCGAGGGTTCTCGACCCCGCACAACATGATCTACTCGACCACCATTATGGCCACCGCAAAAAAAAAAAAAAAAGGGCAGGGGGGGGGTAGTTTTTGGTGGCGACTACATATCTCAACGAGTCTTGATTTTTTACTCACCTGATCTTGCCAGGTCCGAAATTTCTCTGATCCGCAAAAAAGTAAACACCCTTGAGATACTTAAAGATAACTGGCTCCGGGAGATCAAATTGAGTCGTGTCTACAGGGAGAACCGAGCGTACAATTTGCGATCAGAGGGTGGCCAACGACTCCTCACATCTATCCCCAGAACACTTTTAGGCTTTGTAAACAGACCGAATTCCGTGAGATATATCTATATGTTCGGCAACTTTTGCGTCAAAACGTAGTTTTTCCTGACTGGTGTTAGATCATTTTCGACATGCTCGTGTTACAGTGGCGATCGCTACATAAGTAGCAGGCTTCGGTTGTCGCTTGAATCGGTTCCGTTCGAAGCTTACCGTCGAGACTGATAAATTGTTCATGGCCATTCGCTTGTTGATAAATAGCACAGAAATTCAAGGCAGGTCGACAAGTTCAAGGTCCTTCCCATACTACTGTAGATAGGCGATGAATGACATGGCGATGGAGAGGTACAATATGTAGTAGGGATAAGAGGGTCTGACAGGAGCTACGGGATATAACTTCCGTACACATGCATTGATCACGGCCGGCATGTTCATCGTTCGACGCAGTGACCACCAGGTCCGGGAAAAAAACACAGTCAACGTTACTGACCTTCTAAGAGAAAAGTCGGCGTCCGTGGTGGCAATCGAAACAAAGAAAGGGCCTGTCTTGCCTGGCTCGAATGTAGCCGGCATGATGGTAAAAATATCGTCTTCAGATGTGTTGTCCAACATGAATCCAGGAGGTGTAGACACCTCGTGGGTTGGCACCATCGGCGACCCTTCATACGGTCGACCCTGGCAACCAGCGAAGCAAGGAAAAGGAGCAATCAGGTTGCAATCAAGTGATCGAACCGTGTTGTGTGCCCCGAAACGCACGGAACTTTTCTCGATTATAGCACGGAGGCGAAGAACGGCAACATACCTCGTGGAATATTGCCTGGTTGCGGTTTGGCTTCGAGCCTGACATTAGGTAAAAGCCCATCATGCAGCCGACCGAGTCCCTGATGCACTTGTTCTTCCAGTCTTTCTCGGGGCGAGAGAGGGATATCCTCACCTATCACGGCACATGACGAGATGCCGTGTGTGTTTCTGAACGAACACAGGAGAACTTCGGAGACGACTCGCAGTCTTCGTTAAATGTTTTACTAGAACCCACCTAACGAGAGAAAATCTATCCATCTTGTTACCCGCGCGGTTTACTGTTTGATGAGTTGGGCAAGAAGATGGGTTGGGCAGCTTCATGCTTACCTTGGTGGGTCCCGTGGTGCGTAGTTTGAGATGAAAACAAGGGTTCTTCTTCCAATCCGGATGAATGTGACTACCGCCAGCTGTTTGTGTGCCCCACTCGGCCGCTATCGTCCTGGACGTGGTCTCTGGCAGCTCTTCTACCTTGAGTGAGCATTGTGAGATGTGAAGATCGAGCATGCACAAAGTAGGGTTACACGTTCCTGTGCGAGGAGCGTTTCCCGGTTGCAAGAGCACCCGAATATGAAGGACATCGGCGGCACCACTCTACATTGCCGTTGGTACCTTCGTAAGGTTATATTTCATCCCCAGTGTAGTTGGTCACCCCTTTTTTCTTCTCTAATCTTACTCGCTTCACCCACCTCTACAGCATGATCACTGTGAATCTCCAAGGAGTAAGCACCCTTTACTCCCTTTTCGCTTAGCGTAGGCACCTGTGAGCACGATTGGAAAAGAAACATCTGCAAAGTTCTGAACGAACCCCCTTGAGTCCGGGGTTGAGTGGCAAGTCACTCTGGGATATTATGTAACCCTTTCTGAACTTGTAACCGTGGAAAGGTAGACTTCAACATCGTGCATTTCTCACATACTCGAAGTGTACGGACATGCACATGCGTACGGGTGGCCGAGTTCGGAAAGCCCTCGTGACCTCAGACGCCAAGTACGGGCATGAAAACGGCAACGGCTCGGTAAGGTTGCAACGTAGGCGAAGCCATGCGTGGACGATGACTTTTCTTCGAATGGCGCCAGCGCCAGCCATATCACAACCATTCATTACCAAGAAATTACGTACCATTTGGGTTCGCTTTTTAGCAAACGTTGTGCGTGCCGCTCACACTTTGTCAATATCTGAGTTCCAGCACTGTGGTAGTTGAAGGGTATTGATTTGATCGTTCCACCTATTCGCCCAATTCCCTCGAAAACTATTTGGAAACCAAAACGATGACAAACGATACTACACGCAATACCGCAATGCGGAGATGCCGAAGTGTGGCATGTCCTCACCAGGAAGAGTCCGTCCGGCATGAAATCTCTGTGCAAGCTCTTGAGCATCAAGGTGGAGGCCTCGGTGCTACGGTAATCTGACATCTGGCACCTGCCCAAAAAAGGTGCATATCGATGGGAAACTGAGTTTACCAATCGATGGAAAACTGAGTTTACCAAGGACCTCTAACTTTGGTCGTTCGGTGTGTTGCTGGCGACGTTCTGGAGATATCGCATCATCCACCAACGTTTTGAACAGGTACTGCGTCGTACCAGTAACAATCCCATGTTGGGATCTCGTAGTAGGGGCAACTCAGCAAGGTGTTGGTGTTGTGTTGGCGTGTACCATCTACGAGAGAGTTCCTGTTGTTGTCACAGTATGCTGTCTTACACATTATGAACCGTTGCGATCTCTGCCCAGCACCTTACAATACCTTACAATACCGGTACTGTCCAACAGACGGGGACGCCTTCCATAGTCACAGCCCAGAAAACCCGCGATGCGACACAAACCAAAAGTAAAGTCCCAGACAGTTACACGACTACGCCACATGTCCGACGGAGGAGAGCCCATCGATCCCACTTGACACGCGAGGCCAAGCAAAGTAAAACAAATACGAAGTATCAAAGATCGTCATTCCCAAGGCCATAATTGTGCAAGATTTTGCTTGTACTACGTAATAAAGAGGAGGTGGCCAACCCCCAGCTCTCGCCCTCCGCGACACACCATTTCGGTACATTTGCTGAAATGTTTGACTGCACAACGACGAACTCACCATAACTGAGTACAGCTATGACGGCTGCGTGGGGCGGGTGGTGGGGGTGGGGGGCGATCACGTTTCAGGTGATACGATACACACCTACCTAATGTCGGTTTATCTAGTCCAGTGCGGAGAGCAGGCTAAAGGATCAAGCCGCACAAAAACGACATGACAGAGGTGCTGAACTCGAGTGTCAGCCGATTGAAGGGTGTGCGCCACTTCTTCAGAGATTTTGAGTGTGATCAGATCTGGTGGTGGCCTTACGTCGTGTGCACGTCATGCAATACCACCGTGACAACATGTTCAGAGGAAGCTGCAACAACACGTGTTCTGGCGGTAGATTATTGATTTCTAGGACAGCCCGGAGGAATGGCGACATTTCAAGATTTGACCTACGTAACACGCTCGCACCCACCATTCGAGAGGTTCCACCACAATTTTTCGGTCTGGCAAAATCGGCTGGTGGTCATCTTTATTGGCGAGATCTGGTCGAAGCCTTGCCGGGCGCTTCAGGCTGCTCGCCTTCATGGGTAGCGGCTCTCCCAGGGCATTTACCCTTCCCAAGCGATGGTTGGAAAGGGACAACACACAAAACACCGTCGTTGACCAGTTATTGGCAGAAAAAGTCCACTAGATGGATGTACCGTGATCGGCGTGCTGCATACCTTGAGAAGGCTGAAGCAGTTTACCGACGTGTGAAGATGGAGCTTTAAATAAAACCTGATACGATTGCCCCGCTGTGGATACCACTGGCCAAAAGGAAATGAAGCATTGAACACAAGGTGGCAGCGGACCCATGGCTGATGCAGAAACGTTCGTAATAGCCCGATGACATTCGACATCGACTTGATTCATTTTGCGCTACCTGGGTGCATTCGTTTGCCTTCTCCGCGGCGCTCCATCCTCTGCGCGTTTTGCTTTGCAAATCACTAGGCCGGTTAGTGCGTTGTGAGTCAGGGACGTCCTGTATTGACGGCACGGAGGGTTGTGAGCGGTGTATCCATTGTCGTGCATTGCTTCGTTTCCGCTGCATTTTTTAGGTTGAGTGTCATTGAACTTCGAGAACGTTGGTCACAGGATGCGAGCGACGGATCCTACATGGAATGAAAGCCCGGCCTGAATCGAAATCTTGCGTGCTTTGGTGCAAGCATGCCGAGCAGCAGGAACACGTTTACGCAAAGTTAGGCAAGCATCAAAGTGATAACGGACCTTCTAGGCTTAGTTCCCGATGTTTCTTTGCCTCTGGCATGAGACCCGTCGCCCTGCCTTCTCAGGACAAGTTTCACGTCCACCGATTCGTACTGGGCTCTGTTGGGCCATGCGGTGAAAACTTGATTAAACAAAGGCATGAATATCTGGTTTCGAGGTTCATAACCTTCTGTTGTTGATTGTTCCGTCATCCCATTTACTGCATTCACGCCTGTTTCTACCTACCCAATGGTGACACAGAGAGACCTCTCTGCCGTGCATGCCTTCAGTTCAACACGTGCAAGTGTTAAACGGTTAAGGCGGTCCAATCCCGCGAAAGCACTCGCGAGCAAGCGCCTCCTTCATGACTAAATTGTGGCATGCGCAAAACAGTAGTAGCTGCGCCGACACTCGAATTCCTGACCTAACTGCCCGCAGGTTTAGGGTTGTCGACGAGACCACCGGCGTGGCCCGCTTTACCTCGAGGTAGGACAAAAGCGCCGCGTTTATGCAATTCATCGCACCTGGCCGGTATGTTGAGGAGGTACTGAGGGTTTTGACACCATTTGGGGTTGTTCTTTACCCCTTTGTTTTCATCCACCAATCGAAGAGGACCTCCGGCAGTATCCCGGTCAGATGTACGATCCCACGATCCGTGGAGGTACTGCCAACATGAAGTAGCCGAGCGACAACGTAAACGCCCACGCGTTTAGAGCTTGATGCATAGAAAAAGCAAGGCCTGGCGTCTTCCTCGTTCCTAACCAATTACTCCTTCAAGTAGGTTATCTGGTCCCATCCATGGGTAGGTCCGGTGCTTACCGAGGTGAACGTTTCGGTGACCGGCTCCACGCACACGTCCTTCCTGCTGAAAATTCGCAACGTAAACTTCCCTTCACGCTTCTGCTCCATCGGGTGGGGCACGATGTTGTATGCGTACCTTGGGTGAGACGGACAAAGAGAGGCACGTGCAATCAAATGCGCAAGGAAATATGAAGGAAAGATACTCTGGCGATGGTGAACACAAGCAAGGATGAGTGCCGTGTTGTCCAAGAACAAGCAAAGCTAGGTAGGCCATGGAACGTTTGTGACGGTTTGAGGTCGGAAGGACAAGTAGTACAAGAGATCAAGCGAAAGATTCATTTTTCACCTTGGCTCGAGCTTGACGCTTGCCCGGGTGACCTCCCTCTCGCCGCGTGTGCTAGCAAATATGTGTTCATGCGAATTTGCGATGACATCATCTTGTTTCTGCTCCCATATCCTGCAGTTGATATATGGAATGGGTCCGTGCATGTCACAGTTCTTCGCCCAACAAGTAAACCACATGCACAGAACACAAATGGTTACGTCCGCATGAGGCCGGCCAACTCACTATCGAGGTGAGAGACTGTTCGGCGAAATGTCAAATGCCAAGGCTGTCCAGAACAATCTTGACTACAAAAAGTAATCCAAATAACCTGTGTGGGATTAGGTCCCTACCTCTTGTGCGTGGTATGGCGCTTTGTTTGCACCACTTCGAAGCCAACACGGTAGTTTTCCCGCAAGTGATTTGCCGATCTCCTGTCCTGCTGCATCAAGCTGATGTAAACCTGTAGCCAAAACGCGATCGTGGTGACAATATTTGAACCAACGGAAACTAATGCACCGAGTGCGATGGTGAGGGTGTTTTGCCACCCTGCTACTGTAGATTCCCAATGTTCTGAGGAGCAAGCCATTTTTTGTTTCATTCCAACAACCAATCAAAGCTTGTCACAGTACCCCGTACCTCTACGGTCTCGTCCGCTGTTAGCCGGTACTGCGGGTTGTTGAACCAATACGGGTCACTGTCGTCTTGAATATCCACCACACTTTCCCGACGCAAAGAATCTTTCATCTTATCCTGAGGTTCACACGGATGAACAATTTTAGCTGAAAAGGACGACGTCAGAGGAGTCTGGGCGTTTCAGATAACAATGATATAGACGTTCAAATCTGCTCATTGGCCTTCTAGCGATTGATAGCAAAGCCCGGCCAGGTTTGGCATGTTTGGTCGAGGCAAGAAAATGTGAGAGGACTGACAAAAGGAGCCGGTAGCACCGTCTTCTTTAGAGTGGACGGGGGCTTCTTGTCCTACCTGGCCATCCTTTTGCAACCTTGATACAGATCCCCGCCTCATTGGCTTCGCGGATCCGCCAGCCGTTTTGCCCGACCACTCCCCTGAGAGCAGAGATGATGTGCACAAGACGTACAGTTGTTGATGTTGTTGTTGGTTCGAGTTAACTCAATTAGTCTAATGTGGCACACACGTTCCTTCGCAACGACATAATCAAAAACGGTATCGCCGATTCTTAGCAAGTGACCCTCATCCTTGTTACTCTCACCATGTATGCAGTACTGGCGATAGTCTTCGTCGGGAAAGACCCGACACTGGTATACTTTGGTGAACAAACCCACGAAGTCGGAGAAAACCATCCAAAACGTGCCATCGTTGCTATCTCGCCGCCATGGGGTAATTGGGTCGGACGAAACCTCGGAATAAACCTTACGAACAATTAAAGCAATAGTATGGGCACGTTAGAATGTACTCCTGGACTAGTTTGCTCCATGCCGAGAGTATGCTTTAATGCTTCCAGATGATGAGGCACCAGGCACTAGGCTAATCAACGCAATCCTATCTCCGACCGTGGTAAAGTTCTGCATTCTACTTGTTGGGCAATGAACCTTTTGGCTATGGGATATTGTTGGCCAAGTGGTATGGTGAGGCACGCACTTTCAAGCGAGGAAGAATGAACCGAACACGCAACGTGCTGCAGCGGCAGGGTGGAGATGTAACATGACGTGGGCTGTCTTGCTCAGTAGGTACGCGAAAGAAACATTAGACACAGTA